CCCCCTCCCCCTCCAGCCAAACCAGGGCTGGGAGAGATGCAGACCAAGGGCAGCAATTCCTCAGTTACCTCCAGACAAGAATCCACTCCCAGGTCAGGCTCAGGAGTCAAACAAGCAGATGGTGAAAGAAACTCTTTGAGTTTTAACTCCCTGACCTTTATAGCTCCAGACCTCTTAATTTCTCAGCAAAGAAGAATTTCCCGAACCTTTCTTGTTGTTCTTCTCCGGCTTGGCTCTCTATAAACTACTGTCCTAGAGGCATTTGAGATATTTGAAACAATGTTTATGAATGAAGTCATGTCTCTTTCAAGACCTGGGGTTTATTAAAAGGAAAATAAACTGTCCATTCTGATCTTAACCAGGACCCTTCCTCGGGTGCTTACCCTTGACAAATACCGCCCTTATTCAAAGGAAAATAGCACAAGGTTATTTTCTGCCTGGTTAAGCGTGCAAAGCAATGGAGGGAGAATGTGCAGTTCACCAGTGCTCTACCCCGTGGTATAAAGATCTCAGCATCATGGCAGCATTGAATGGGTGTCATGAAGGTTGGGTTGTTGCCCTTTGCTTTTGGTGGTTCCTTCTGTTAGTTTGTGGAAGGAGGAAACAGCATCTTTGGTAGAGCCATGTCTTTTGTGAGAAAAATCAAGGAGTCTTGCTCACAGCGGTATGGGGCATCTCCTTTAAAAAAAAAAATCTTATGCTATGCATTTTTTTTCCTGAAATATGTGCTGTTTAAATCATTATCATTCACTGCTACCAGGTCTTGATTGACTCACTTGCCTTCTTGTTAGGTGAAGTATTAGTGAACAGAAATGTATGGGAAACATAGCTTACTGATAGAGCTCTTAATTTTTATGTAATTATGTTGTAACTGGTGTCTCATTACAGTGAAAATTCAAATGCTCCTGTCTTTCAGGGTACTTTGCCATAAAGGCTCATTACTAATTACTAGCTTGATATGCATTGGGTTGATACTTTTAGAAACAGAAGTTGGGATTAAGGAAGCTTTCAGGCAGGGACAAAACCCTGAATTGAATGTGCGTAATGCATATTAGCCTGCTGTAAACTGCAGTCTGTACCGTGCACGTGCACCAGGGCCCAAGAAATTTGTATGTTGGCTGCTGGAGAAAAAAGGGGGGGGGAATTTTCCCTATTCTCTATTTCCGGTATCTTTGAGGCAGTATTTTGTACCTCCCAGAATATAGTATGTCCGGATACTTCAGCATAACAAACAAGTGCTTCATTTTTAAATACCACTTACGACGAAAGCAAAAGTTCACACGGTTCCGTGTCTAGAGGCAAACTGACAAGTAATGGTGTGCCAGTTGAATAAATTAGAGAAGGTGGCAGATCAGAGAAGATTATTGTAGGAAACGAACTGAATTTTGTTCATGCTTGCTGTTCGCCACTAGGTAAATAATTATTTCATTCTGGCCCTTTACTGCAATGCACTGGTGCAGCAAGTGGCAGAGAAGCAGGAAACAAATGTCCTTTAAAATCTGAATGTGAAAAATTATTGTTTTATAGAATTAAAAATAAAATGGAAAGGTCCAGTCTTGCCATGTTCCTCCTGCGATTAGTCCTTGCAAAGCCCTCTTCTAAGTAGTAGTTGCAATATTGATCCCTACTGGGAACAGAGTCAATGGCTATCTCAATTTATGCTTAAATATATCAGTCTGGCAAGTTTTACTTTCATAAGTAATCCTTACTCCCCTGACTTCTTATTGCCATAAAAATACAATCAATTAAAAAACTGGATTCAGCTAGTCTCCTTTGGCAATAAAGGCTTGGGCCTGTTTAGAGCATTGTAAGATTAGCTTGAGCTAGAGGAAAAAAAGTCAGATATCTGATAGCTAGTGCTGCAAAGAAAATATTTCGGAAAGCGGAGGATTGCCTTTCTTGCAGTATAATGCATCTGTTAGGTAACAACTGCAGTTTTAACGGATTTGTACAAGACAGTTTCCATTTTTTTGTTGTTTTTACTACTACTCGTTGTAGTGCATGTTCGTGCCAGTCCTTTCCTGAGTGAGTAGGGCTCGTAAACTCAGGGGGGGAACTCAAGTACCGTGGATTACTCTTCCGAGCAAGAGTTTGTAGGATCATTCATGCAGCAAATCTCTGCTTTTCCTGAGAAGTGGGGCAGAATTGGTGGGAAACAAAGGGAGGAGCAGCCGATTTCTCTCTCTCTCTCTCTCTCTGGCAGCAAAGCAAATATACATGCTTTCAAAACAAGTCTCGTTAAGTCGTGGTGGGCAGCTCCTGCATCCTGACAGATTTTGACTCTATATTGTAGTGCAAGGATGATGGATAACCCCCTTCATAAAATTAGAAACCACACCCCCAGACCATCTGGTGTATTACTTAAAGAAAAACAGCATCCAACATAATGCTTATCAATTTATTCAATAAAGAAAATCCAGGCCAAGATTCTTCTTTTGGAGCACAATCCTGCACTCCCTCCTCAAATCAAACTAGTGAAGGCAATAGGAGTGCTGCCAGATACAGGATCAGGCCTGTAAGTTGCAGCGGTATAAATCCATTGGATCCGAGTGGAGTTTCACAGCATGAAAGAGAAAAGTCTGACCTTACCTATTTAAGATATAAAGCCGGCATGATCCCAGGAAGTAAACAGCTCTAGCACTCAAAGTCCACGACTTCACTACTAACAGTGAAGAGAATGAATCATTGAAACAGAGGCAATTCCTTTTTGCTGCCTTTCAGATTTCCTTGGCTAGCAGAGTGGGTCTTGCTCTCCGCATTTTCCCCTCCCTTCTGTCCTGTGGGAGGTAGAGTTCACTTCATCACATATTCGACTTGCCTCCTGCTGCTGCTTGGACTACAGTGAGACTCCCGATCGCACAGTCTTTCCCCTGTCCTGGAAAGGCTGCTGCTTCTCTGTGCACATGCGTGCTGACGTGTGTTTTACTTGGAGCAAAAGCACCAACCAAGCCATTCTAGTCCTACCGCCACGAGGAGCACTTTAGATTTGTGAATTGAATAGCCTTTGACTATGAACCAGCAGAAGCAGCTTTGCAATATACACAGTATATTGTAAAATAACACACCTGGAAAGAGCAGTAATTGTGTTAGGTCATTAAACCACAAACAAGCTAATCCACTAAACTCTCCTGTTGACTTCACTGGCCTTTGGATAATGTCCCAAATTAAAAATGGACGAGGGTGCAAGCATTAGCTTATGTTAGGCCACCTGGAAGCAACGAAGCAGGTGGGCTTTTGACATGCGGCCCTCTGTATTTTGCTCTTTTCCTTTTCCCCCCAAATGATGCAAGAAATATGGTTTGAGAAAGTTTTATAATGCTGTTCTTCTCTGTTACATGTAGGTAAAAGGACCTCTTGCATAGTGCTATCTCAATTCCTTAATTGATCCAAGTTTTCAAATGTAATGCCATTGATCTCTGAGTCTGAATATTACGTTGGCTAGAAACATGATCAAACAGATTGACATTGCCTTGAGCTTGTTGGGAGCATGACTGATTTGTAAGAGAGCCTGTAATGGCTATTGCCTCTCTCTTTTCAGGATTTGAAAATAGTATGCATTGGGGATTTCATAAATTGTTCATGATACCCAGGATTTTGGACCTCTACATCTGGGATATGCATCAAAATGGCACCCAGTTAGCAGAATGGAAGTATATAGTGCATATATGTTTGGGACTGTACCTCCTGAGCAAAAACTGCATGGGAAAATGATGTCATAGTAATGTTAGAACTATCTAAAAGTAGTCTCTTTTAGGATACTTTCCATATACTTTTTTTAGGAGAGCAGCAATCACATATTGGCAGTGTCTTAGGAGCTCTGTGAGTTGTATGTTAGCTACTCCCTGACCTCCATGGAAAGATGCCAGTCAGACAAAAAGAACTATTTCAGCCACATTAATGGACTGACCAAGGCTAATTGCTGGAGTTTTTCTACCCATCATCAAAATGTTGTCAGTGCATCAGGGCATAAAAGATTAAAGAGAAATTACTTGATCAGCTGCCATGAAGACTTTTTTTTTTTAATTCAATGACCTATCCCATTTCCAAGAAGAAAGCTGCCTTCATTTTGCTCAGCACAGCACCCTCAGCAGTCACTTAGTGACATACATTTTTTCTACATTAATAAACTGAGAATCGTTCCTTTCCCTGTAAAACTTTGCTCATAGGGCGTGATCCAGTAAGGTGGTGGAACCCTGTAACTCCACCTGACTGTCCTGGGAGTCGAGGGCACTGCCTGTTTTGGAGATCCTCAGTTCTATACCATTGGTTAATATCTGGTGGGAAAATAGTCTTAATTTCTGACATCATTGGTTTGGGAGACCTTTTGGCAGATCCGGTGTTAGTTTCCGTGCTGCTTTAACAAACAGGAGGATTATTTTTTTCCTGATCGTTAAAGCACCATTGTTTTATCCATTGAATCAGTCAAAAATCTTTTCCTCTGGTTATAAATAAGGATTCAAGACTAGTTGGGGTCAGATTCTGTGAGTCCTTCGCAGACAAAGCTCCTATTGATTTCAGGGCTCGATCCAGCATCCTGTGTAAAGGGCTGAGAATTTTTCCATTGGCTTCAGCGGGCAATGGAATAAGTTCCAAGTTCCGAAATGGATACAGGATAGGGCCAAGTGCCTTCAGCACTGCAAAAGTGATCTTACAATACACACATGCTTATGAAAAGACACTGATGATGTTGAGTCATTGATGGAACTTGTGCACTGTTTTTTTTTTTGGAGCTTGTGTTACAGTCCCTTCTCCTAGGAGGACAGAGCAACATGGCAGCTCTCTTTTTAGTAACTCTTATGGCATCACATCCAATAGAACAGGGGCTAGTGAAATAATGGCCTGCCTGTCTCATGATTCTCTGTGATCTGTCTTGGTATGCCAAAAGCAGCTCAATGATCTTTTGGTTCAACCCCTGTCCGAATGCAGGAATACTGCTTCTAAGTCATCCGTGACCCATGCTCATCCAGCCTTTTTAAAAACCTCCAGTGAAGGAGATAGCACAGCTTCTCAGGGCAGGCTGTTCCCCTGCCTCACTATTCTAGCAGCAGGGAAGTTTTTCTTGATATCTGATTGAAATCTACTTGGCCACAGTTTAAAGCCACTGCTTCTCATTCAGCCCTCTGCAGCAGGAGAGAAAGTGTCCTCCCTGTTTATGGGAAGCTTTCAGATATTTGAAGACTGCTGTCATGTCTCCCCTTAATGGCCTTTTCCTCCAAGCTAAACATACTTAGTTCCCTCAACCTTCCTTCATTTGACTTGCCTGCCACCCCTTTATCACTGTTGTTGCCTACCTCTGGACTCTCTGTCTTCCCAACATCCTTCTTAAAACGTGGAGCCCTGCACTTTTTTTTGCAAGTGGCACCTTGGTCCTGGCATATTTTGCTTAGAACATGATGCTGCAGTAAGGTTAAAGGAGTCTCAAGCACCTGGTCATTGGCGACGCGTAGGGGGTGCACGTGGGTGCATGTGCACCCCATGAGATTAGCGGTGCACCCCCAGGAGATGTGTCGGTGGTGTCTGTGGGCCGTCGCTGCTTGCCACCCCTACCCTCATTGGTGGCGTCTGCGGGTAGTTGCCAATTGCCGCTGGCCACTGCCGGTGGCATCTGCGGGTGGTCACTGATCACCAGTCAGTGCTCGCCACCCCTCACCCCCTGCGCCAACACCACCTGTGGGCAGTCACCATGCCTCCCCAGCCTCTGGGAGCATGTGTCATTCATGCACCTGGCTTAACATATGGGTGGCAGAATCACAGAAAGTTGGGGTTGGAAGGGACCTCAGGAGGTCATCTAGTCCAACCCCCTGCTCAAAGCAGGACCAGCCCCAACTAGATCATCCCACCGAGACTTTGTCTAGCTGGGTCTTAAAAACCTCTATGGATGGAGAGTCCACCACCTCTCTGGGTGACCTGTTCCAATGCTTCACCACCTTAGTTTTTTCCTAATATCAAATCTAAACTTCTCTTGCTGCAGCTTGAGACCATTGCTCCTTGTTAATTCAGTAGCAGATTACTTTCCTCAATCTTGCTTTCTTCATAGAACCTGAAATCAGTTATCTTCTGTGGGGGTTTTGCTTATGCAGCCAATTCACGATCAGCCCCTGTGACTCAGGGTATCATGAGTGATTGTTCTTTTCAGCCCAGCCAGCTGCCCCCACCAAGAAGTGAGGCTCAGATTATCAGTTTTACAGCCTTACAGACACTGTTTGCAGGTAAGCAGAAATACCTGCACTCAAGCTCTTGGCCTGAGCAGTTTGTGTCGCTTTCTTTGAAAACCAGTGTATTGCTTCAAGTAGAGAGGAGAAGCACAGACTAAGGCTCTGCAAGGGAGATCAGCGATAAGGGTTGGATTCTGCTGAGCCCTTGACGTTCCACTGACAGGCAGGAGGAGTGGAGAAAATCAGCTTAACTTAATTGATTTAGGGTGGGAGGGATGGTCTGGTGGCACCAGAGTGGGAGTCAGGAGACCCAAGCTTAGTCCCAACATCTGGGGTCATTTGGGGTCAGTCACTTCTTCTACCCAATCCACGAGTTTCCTGTCTATAAAATGAGGTTAGGATTTTTTCACCAGGAAGGAGTGTTGTGAGGATAAAATCCATTCAGTATTGCAAGGTGCTCAGATAGGGGGGGGACACATTCCTAGACAGACGGACAGAGAACAGCAGGCAAGGACCTGTCCCCGATTCAGAAAATAGGCAGGATTGGCTATATTGTAACGTGCATTTGAGGTTGCATTTGGACTATCTGCTGAATCTTTTTCCTGCTTCTAAAGGCAATGCCATTTAAAAGGGTGAGGCAGGTGGGAAAATTACATCCCCAAGAGCATGTGGTTCTTCTAAGTCAGCACCTGGCCTCTGGGTTTCTGTCTCACCCTGCACCCGAAGTGGCAGGCAGGTGCTGAGCTGAGTGTGATTCCTCAGACGGGCGGGGAGGGAGTTGGTTTATTTGTAGAGCAGCCTTGTGCGAGTCGTACTGTTCACATAGCCAAGTGTTAAACAGGTCCCACTGTCGTCTGGATGCATCCCGAAACGCGGAAGCAGAAAGGACTGCAGAACCGTGGGAGATGGCAGACCGTTGCATACTCTCAGCAAGCAGAAAGCGCAGCCGATTTGCCTGTGCCATCCTTCTGCATATTTATGCACATTGCATTTTTCCTGGGAGCCATCCGTAAAAATCTGTAAAACATCCCATTACGACACAGAGGGCACTGTGCGAAGCGGAGCACTGGGAGCTGAGCTTTGAAGTGCTGGGATCTAGTTCCCTTTCAGTCTGTATCTTGTTTATCTCTTCCCGCCCCCCCACTTGCAGTGTGTGCTCGAGAGAGCTTTCCAAAGCCCACTGCATGTGACCTGACCGGGAGCGATTCGCTTAACAAAACCAAACAGCGGAGCAGTCGTTCTCGTGTTTTTTTATGATAAACGAAATGCCAAGTTTTCCATCTATGCTTTTTCTCATGGCCCTTGAACCCATGTGGTAGGCTTATTTAGGGAACAAGACAAGCCTGGATGCAGTCCCAGAGTCTGCAGTAGCTTCAGATGCCCCTCCAAAGGTTAGGATACTTCACTAGGGATTTGTTCTGCAGCAGAGACTAAAAGGAAACTCAGGCTAGTTGCTGTTTGTTCTCAACTTAGCCCATGCGCTTTCCCGTAAGCCAGACAAGAGAGTGTTTATAGGCGTGGTAATTTTACTATGGGGCTTATGGCGGTGTATTCAGCATTGTAGACGTCCAGTGGCGTACTCTGCCAGGACTCTAGGAGTAACTTTTAAGCAAACGTTTATCTGTGTAGCTGAATTGAACTGTTCTTATTTCTACGCTGACCTTCAGCTTTAAAAAGTTTTTGAGGCCTTTCATAAGAACAATGCAACTGTTTCGCGTCAGGGTCAGCTTTCTCATGCAACGTACAAGATTTACTTTTTTCAATAAAATGAAGGTTTGAATATAAAATGATGTTGCTTCATAAGCAAAATTGAATGTGAAATTCTGCCCTGACGTATGTCTTGGCAGCTCTATTGGCACGAGTTAACGGGATTGTAATTAATGGCAGGAGTTGGTTCAGAGTGGGTGTATGACAGCGTTATCCTCACGTTTGTGGAGCAGAATAAAAGAGACCGTCGTACTGACGACACAGTTAAGATTTAATATTTTGTTCCCTGCTGTAGGATATGACGAAGTTTCAGAAACAAATTTGAGGTCTCATAGCGTTCACGCAGCAAAACATGCGCAAGAGAATCGCCCTGTACCTGTTCGCAGAAAAAGAAGCATTGGTAAGAACCTGCTAGTTGTCCTTATAGACCCAGATAATGGGGGCTCCTTCGGGCAGTCATGTTAGGGCACTGTTGTGAAAAACTAACATATCCAAAGGAAAAGACCGTGTATAGTTTCTGCTTTTTCTATTGACCTCATCACTTGTTGCATCTGAATCGCTTTCTGGTTGGTAATCCATCCTAGAGAGACATGCACGAATAAATGGTTTACATTCACCTTCCAGTTGTGACATGTTAGAAGCCAGACCCTTATTAGCAAATGTGGCAATGTTCAATGTATAATTCATAGTGTCGGGAACAACTACGGCAACTGGCTTTAAAAAAAAAAACAACAACAGTTGGTGGGGTTTTCAGTACAGAAGCTCTAGAAAAGGAAACAGCTTGACTTTTTATTTCAAAAACAGTTTATCCAAAAAATTGAGAGAGCAAAGTGCTTTGACATTAATTTCCATCGCCACATAGAGGGCCAGGCATGTTTACAAGGCATTTTTTTCCCTAATAAGTACTAATGATGGTGTCAAAACAGAAGCCTGGATGTCAAATGGAATCTATGCTAATTTACAGATGTAAAATGAAACAGGTGGTAATTCCCTTGAAAATGGAATTTTTATGCAAGCAGCTCTTGTTGCATCTGATTAGATTCAACTGCTTGACTATTCTAGCTATCTGTGAACCCATACATATTCTTATGTGCTGTAGGTAATTTGGAGTCAGCAGACTTTAACTCTAGACTGAGACCACATGCAATATATAGCACAGTACATGCTATCCACCTGGATTTGCAGTGCAAATTGGCAAGCGCACCTGTCGCACTGACTGCCTCTAGAGAACAGTGGTTTAGAAACAGTCTGCTGCACTTGGCACCCGTTTCTGCAAGGTGCTGGATTCCTCACATTAAAAGTCAACGGGAACTGAGTATGCTCAACAGCTTGTAGGAATTGCCAAATATCTTGCAGTATCAGGCCCTCTATTATCATAGGTTAACAGCAACGTTGGAGACCAAGAAGAAAAATCCTCCGTTGTTGTCACATCCACCCACTCTACAGAGATGTTTGGACGTGTCTTGCTCACCAAAATGGAACGTGTCCAAAATCAAGCCAACTGCAGATGGGATACTAGGCTTTCAAGTTACAGGTTCAAACCAAGCTACCTTTTCTTTGCCTTAGACTTCTCCTGAAGATAGTAAAGAGGTACAAGCGTTGACTCCTTCCCTTCCTCACAAGACCCCAACTGTTATAGCTTCTTCAATAGAAGGGTAAAAAACCAAGCTGCCTTCAGAGAACTTCTTGCTGTCCAGATTGCCCAGTAGGGACTGCCGTGAATGAAACAAAATCTTTTCTTCCTGAACCCTCTTGTCCTGTACTTGAGAATCTCACTTCTCAAGAAGTCCTACCTTCTCGCCCCCCAGGGTGCAAGAGACACCCAGATGCTTCAGAGAGTAGCTAGTGAACTGCAGCTAGGCTTTAGCATGCTGTTGTGCAGCCCATTGCTCAGTGCACAGCAAATATATAGAGCTAAAACTCTGAGCCCTGGAGAGTCTGAAATGTACACTTGTCTGTCAGCACTTCTCCTTTCTTAGGAAGTATTTAGTTGCTGTAGATTGAGATCTGGCAGAATAACGTACTTAGTTGAACACAGAATGGAGTAGCTGGTTTGCTCTTACTTTTCCAATGGTTTGTTCACATCCACTTGTGTACTGGTTCATCAGCTTTATTGAGAAACGATGACACTTGTGATGATGGACAAAGGAGGTTTGGCAGTTACTGGAGCTGAAGCTGCGGGTCTGAAAGATTGCTTCAGAAATCAGGTTTATCATAGACGTTATAGAGACAATTGGTGTGCGGTTGCATGACACATACATGCCTGTTACGGCCCTGATTCTGCAAAACAGACCAATCCCTATCGATCGGGAACTGCTACAACAGGGAAGGTTTCAGACTGTCCTTGCCTACTGCCACTTTTTAATAGCCAGCATTTCCATTTAAGTGCGGATGCTCTGAACTGCATGGGAACTTGAGCCGGTAGGTCCCTATTTCATGGTCTGGTTGTGCAGAGCCGCTCAGGCTTTACTCTGGGGTAATGTGCTCAGTATGATAGGAAGTCAAGGGTGGCAGCCTCCCCAAGCCCAGCACCAAGGCTGATCATTAAAGCAGGCCACCTGGTTGGGATTCAGTCTCGTATGTTCATAGCAAAAGTATCTGTGCTCTAAAGCGAGAGCAGCTGTTCACCTGGAGGTGTGAATTCTTGTGTTTGTAGAGGAAGCCATCCCTGCTGTCTGCAAAACAAGAACTGTTATATACGAGATTCCTCGGAGTCAGATTGATCCCACCTCTGCCAATTTCCTGATATGGCCACCATGCGTGGAGGTGAAACGTTGCACTGGCTGTTGCAACACCAGCAGTGTGAAATGCCAGCCATCACGGATACATCACAGAAGTGTCAAGGTGAGGACATGGTGACTGCACAGGTGCAGAGGGCATCTCTTGCTGTAAGAAGATTGGTGCTTCAGACAGTCAATCAAATATGTTCTCCTCTGCTATTAGCAGATGCTTTTCTTCATATCTGCTTAACAGAAAATATTGCTTGTAGAGTTGATTGTCGTGGACACCATTTTGTTTTTGGGTGGTGTTTAACAAAAAAATCTTAGCAAAAATAGTTCTCATTGGAGCTTTCCCAGGATCTGTCACAGCACAGAACTAGCATTTCAGAAGAGAGGCTGACTCAAGGGGCATGGGATTGTACAATCCACTGTACAGAATATTATTTCCTTAATTAAATATTATGCAGCTTAAAACTGGGGCTTTTATATGTGACAACATAACACTTTTGATCTGAAAAAAATGTGTTTCAAATGATCTTGTCTCTGGGGGCAAGAGACTCAAGGGCATCATGCTTTATTAACTCATTAGGCAAAATCCTTTTCTCGTTGCCACAGTTTTCCATTAAATATTTCATGAAGTATTTATTATAGTCATGTTGCTTTCACATCGGTGTAAATCAGGGGACCTGATTAAGTCTGTAGACTTGCACCAGCATAAGGGACAACAGAATCCCATTTATTGGCCCCATTATTCACCTGTTGCCCCATTTCTTACAAATAGTAAAGTTGACTTCTATTTTTAATAAACATCCTTCTAAGTGAATTTGCCCAGTAAAATAAATGGACTGTAGCAGGCACTGTGTCTTGCTGAGGAGTCGTAAGAGGTGCTGCAGACTCATTTATTTAACCTTCATGCCTTCCAAATGCAAAGTGTGATGTCTGAGCCAGTTATAAGGTATCTGAACACACCCAAAAATGTGGGCAGTTTTATTTATTTTCTTAATGGCTGAAAAACCCTTCCGGCTCTGATAAGATGGCAAATATCTGAAGAGATTTTCTCAGCTTTTCCAAAAATAAATTACCTGATACACTTGCATGCTATTCACTTGTGGATGTTGAAACTGGTTGCAGACATAATTAAGTTAGAAAAAGAAAAATATGGGGCTGTTACATTGATCACTGGGCTGACAACCAGCTGGAGAAATTTAAGTCATTTAAAATAGTGGCTTAAAATGAAACTACCTCCTGAACCAGGAGTAAAACACCACCACTGGCAAGCCCAGTGCTATGATCTGTGGGCCCAGTCCTGCTTCCACCTGTTTTGTGGGCTCAGATCCTTCCACTAATGCATTAACATGGTGCAAAGGGATAGTAATGTAAATGCAAATGCTCAACAAAGAATTGTGCTGCCTGATGAGAACTCCAGGTAGCTTGTCTACACCACAGCCTGGCTCTTGTCTTCTGCCTTTCCAACATACAGGGTGCGGAAGAAGTTGAGTGGCATTTGCTACAGCCACTCTCCTCCTGCATAGGATCCTAAGCCAGGGGCAGAACTTGAATTGATGCTTCTGTTAGGATGTTTTAATGTTACTGTCGGGGATGTTACCTGTCTTGCTGCCCCCCATGTAACTTGGCATCTCATTCAGTGGTACAGCAGTGGCCTTTTTGGACTTGCACTCATTTATTAGCATGCAAACTATAAGGATGATCATCTGAGAAGTTGATTTCTAGGGCTGCGTAAGTGCCGGTGACAGATACACCCATCAGCCAGTGGTTCAGAAAGCTTCAAGACAGTTCCCCTGCTCCAAACAGTAATTAAATAGAAAGGACAAGAGGTCAAACAGGAACAGGATGCTTATTGTAGAGGTTGCAGGCTGACCCCGCCATCACACCAGCCATCCTTGAACAAAATCCATATTTATTTCCTTCAGAGTCAGATCCTCTTGTAGCCTTTGATATAATTAATTGTTTTATGAGCCTTTTGGCAAGAACACATTGAGAGCTGAATGACTTTGTGTGTGTGTGTGTGTGTGTGTGTGTGTGTGTGTGTGATGCTTGAGCAAGCCCAGTGCGAGGGTCACAGGAAAGGTAGGAGGAATTGGTTGGAGGGGCTGTCTGGGATATTCCTGGAATGCAGTGGAGAGCTCTCGGTTTTTCCATCATGTCAGACTATATAAAAGCTTTCTTTTGATTAACATTGAAAAGGCTTCCCCCCGCCCACCCTCTTTTAATTTACAAGGTGGTGAGATCATAGCAAGCCTATTCACACTGCCAACATGTCTGCCCAGAAAAGTCAGGCAGTGGGTTTGAAGGCATATTATCTAACAAGGCAAAGCAAAGGATGTTTCTGGATACCCCTGAGGGCCACAGCGGACAAAATAATATCTTACCCAAATATCAACGGTTAGTAGTAGGATGTGGAGCTGCAGTGCAGGTGGGTACAGAGTCAGGGACATCCCTTTCCTCTTGATCTTGATGCAAAGACTGTTGAAGCCAATGGAAAGACTCCTGCAGACTCCAGCGAGCCTCAGATCAGATCACAAGTGCAGCAGGGCTGAGCTGGAGCTCTTAGCCAGTGCTTCTGGTGATGCTAGCTAGAGGGATAATTGGGTGCTATGACCTTTGTCCACCCTTACACGAACCAGTTGATCTGGCACAACGTCAGTATAGCAGGGCATAAGCTGTGCCTTCTCAAAAAGGTGATGCAGGCTCCTATTGCACTTGAGGTGCTTCTGGAGCTGATAGCTTTAATATTTGTCATATGGCCCTTTAGTCTTGGTTTGATGAAAGACCATGGTAAGTTCCTTCTTATGATGTCCATTCTCCAACAGGTAGATTAGGGAAGGGGACACAACCAAGCCAGACCAGGGTCTTGAACCCATGTTGTGGAGGGTAGCAAGTTTACCACGGCACCACTACACAGGGCCCTGTAAGAGGCAGGTCAGGGAAAGAAAGGGTGTGAGAAGCACTTTTGCCTATATGACAACAGAACACCTACATTGGACACATCTCCTCTGGAAAGAGCGCAGAGGAAAGCCACGCG